TCATTCTACTTTATATGTGGAATCTAGCCATGTGTGGAGCCTACCTACTGGTGTGAATTGGCCCTAGGCCCCATTGATTTCAGTGGGGTATGACTTCCAAGCAAACAGGGTTTTTTTTGCTTGGTGGGTTTTTGCAGCTTTGAGATTCCAAACAATGCCCTCCAAAGCATTATAAGGTTTAATAAACCCAGTTATCAACTTTGTTTCTCCGTGATGGAGACCGCATCTTATGGGGCCAAGGGAAAAGAAGGCAAGACAAATGAAAATAAAGAAATGTACCTATTGCTATTAAATAGCAATGTAACAAATGTTTTTGCCACAGAAGGCACACTTTTGTACTTCATGGATTACCTCAAAGGAGTTCATATAGCTGATAAACTGATAAAAATAATAATTACTCAATATATTTCAAATAACTGCTCAACAACTGCATTATACTCTGGTCTACTGCAATGTTAGCTTCACATTCAGTTGTCAGGGGCGGGGGAGCACCAAAATAATTATCTGGCTATTATCAGTTAGTGACCTTTTCCACTTTGTTTCTTCTCCTTCCCAACTGTAGAGTGAAAGGAATCTTCTGACTGCTCTTCTATTTAGAGATAATGATCAGTTCAGCTGATTGGGGTATCTCTGCCTGCCTTTTATCTAGCAGCCTAGCTGGTCCACTCATGATTGACAGAGTATAATAAAGCCTAATCTCAGTTTCAGAATCACAGCAATACACATAGGAACAAGATTTCATTCCCTACCGTTTGATAAAAAAGTGAAAACAAATTGACTGTTTCACTACTTTTTGATAGCAGTGAAAATATATAATATATGACTTCTCCTTAATGGCATAAAAAGTATACCGGCCAATGTAACCATTTCAAACAAATATTAGTTTTATTACATAAGAAACCATATTTTCCAGCAGCTGCCGCCCCTATCAGAGTTGTTGTCATCACCAATCTAGGAACTGCAATGTAGGAAGGCAGCACCTTCTGGTTTGTTCTTTTTTAAATTTATTCATCCCACTCCTCTGTATTTTCCACAAAACTACTATTCATTCATTTATCAAAGAAATGTATATGCTACCTTTTAAACAAAGTGTCCCAAGATAATAATTTAAAAAAAAAAAACAAAACAATCCAATTACAAAACTATAATTACTACTGACAATTTTATGTCAACAACAGTTGAAAGATCCATTAGGTATTCAAAACTCACATCAGAATCCACAGCAGTGAATTCCACAGACAGATACTTGAATTTGCAACATTTCAGGTTTGATCTGTTTAATTATTCTAATCGAGTATCAACCAAAAGAGTAGTGGTGGTCGTTGTTCACTCAAAGGTCAGGCTGCATTTTGAGTGTGTTGATTTTATAACATTAAAAATGCAGAATTTACGATATTCTATGAACTCAAGACAGTTGGAAGCATAACTATAAACCCTTTATCCTGACTGTCTGGATTTTAAAAACAAAACAAAATACACTGCAAGCTGTATTTTGCACATCCACATTTTTATTTTGGATCTGACATGAAAATCCATCAATAAATTATATACCTTGAAACTGATTATCTTAGTCATCCATTAATGAAACTGTTGCCTTCCAAAAAGAATTATTGACAACAGCGTTAATTGTTGTAGTAGACACCTTTATCCTTAACCAGTGAGATAAGGAGCTAAACATTAAGACCTTCTTTTGTGACTCCATAAAGATGTATCATGAAATAATTCTCATTAACCTCACTTTCTATATTGTTCTGGTATTACACAATGTACTTTGAAAGATATTGTTCTTTCACCATGCTTATCTAAAGTTAGTAGAATAAAATACATGCAGTAGGTGGCCCAGACGACAAGACCCCCACTCTTGACCTCATTGATGTGGTCAAATGAAAGCAGAGCAATATGTTTGGCACCAGCTTAGCTGCAGGAGTTGCAGGAAGGACCTCCATACACACTGCCCAGGCCTATCACTAAGGTTTGACGTCCTCCCAGGAGGTGTAACCCATTGCCTCTTGAGACAGATGGATGCCAACAATAAGTAGGTGGTAAATTACAACCCATAAGGAAGTATAATAAAGTCACAAAGTTTCTGGTGGTTTCTTAAAATTTATCAAATACGTTCTGGCATAGGCTTTTGTGGACCAGAATCCATTTCTGTCAGATGCACCTGACAAAACAGAGACATGAAAACTTATGCCACAGCAAATATGTTAGGCTGCAGTCCTATACCCATTTACCTGGGAGTAAGTCCCATTGAACTCAGCAAGACTCACTTCTGTGTAGAGATGCAAAGAGCTGTGCTGTCAAGTCTTTAAAGTGCCACCTAAATTCCAACCACTCAATAATACAGTTAGATAATTAATAAAAACCATACTAATTTATTTGTTTTTTTACTCATATGCCAGCTGCATGTTTTCATACTGGATTAGAAAAGGGGCAAATTGGCTAAGAAACTAAGAAACTTTTAAGATTTTAAACAGTTCTTAGTTTTTGCTTCACAACCATGAACACAAATGGCAGAAACAACAGCAGATTCAACAATGGAGCCTTTGATAAACATTAAAATACTGTCCCCAAGTGCTCAATCGTAAATCAGAAAAGTAATATATTTCTAACCTGTAGCGATTAATTCTACTTTAACTCTGCTTTCAATAGACATTTCCAAAGGGCAGAGCATACAATAGATTCACACCAATAAGTCCAGTTGGTTTTAAAATAAGAACTTATTTTCTAAACTTGCTGGAAGGAATGTAGATGAGACCGAGGCAAAGAATTCATAAGGACAAGAAAGGAGAGTTAAAACAAGCAGCCTTTTACCATATAGCCTACATCATGCTCAACATTTCAAGAGTTGGGATGGGGGGAGGATGTTTCTTTATAGATTGTGAAGCAAGTATCAATAATTTAATGTCTGAAATCAGTCTGACTTGCACTCTAAGATGCACCCTGTGCAACTATATATTTTAGAGCTATCTCCAAGAAAGGTGGTAATGATGAAGCAACTGGGTATTGGAGTTTTGTTTTGTTTATTTTGCATACTCAGATACAATGGCCAAATAACCAGAAAAAAACAGCCTTGGTCTGGTTTGAGCTTGATTCGCAAAAATCTACAGATGAAGTTTTCAACAGACCAGAGATAGGGTTGGTGCCAAAGCATGAAAATGAGCTAGTACATTTCCTTCTTTCTTCTCTAACAGGAATAAATGCCTTATTTTGGGTTGTGTCATTTCTGATTAATTTTTCCTGATCGTTTTGACACTATACCATGGTTTCATCTGCTGTTTTCCTCCTTGTTTCTGTTAACTACTGATTCTAGTTTTAGTTTCCTTATTTTAATTGATAACAAGATAGAGACAAAATTTAAAAAATCCTTCCAGTAGCACTTTAAAGACCAACTAAGTTTGTTATTGGTATGAGCTTTTGTGTGCATGCACACCTTTTTTTTATTTTGTTTCGACTACGGAGACCAACAGGGCTACATACCTGTAAGATAGAGACAGTGTGACATAAGTGGCTACAATGCTAAAGTTGGGGACATTCAGATCCAGCCATGGAGCACATGAAATGATTGATCCATTCTGCTCTCCTCCACACATTTTTTGTGTGTTTTTTTAATTTTTATTTACAATTCTATCAATAGTGTGTCTTGCCTTCAAGGAGTTAAAACTTGTATATATGGTTCTACCCTTCCCTATCTTCACAATAACCCTGTGAGGCAGGCTGTGCCGAAAGACTTGATGGCCCAAGGTCACTCATTGAGTTTCATGACTGAGTGGGGATTTTGGCCTTGATCTCAAAGTGACAACTGTGAAGCTAAAAGGGGGCGAAGAAAATCGGACGCCATCCTGACCTCGGAAGAAAGGGGAGTTATGATTTGGTTTGGTTTGGTTTTTAAATGCAACAGATCCTTGCAAACTGCTTTGAGAACGGTTACAGTTATAAAGCGCCGAGCAAATCTTGTTACGAAACAATAACGAACAAATAACATTTAAAGCAGCAGCCATCCAGCCTGTGCAAGTATTTGCACAGCATGCGAGCTGCTTTTTAGGGGCGCAGCTACGGTGGCCGCTGAGGACAACTCTGGACAACTCTTGACTCGGCCCGAGGAAAGGCCGGCGCGGCCTCTGCAGCAACCTTCCCTCCAGCTCCTGACAGGGTGAGGGTGGAAGCAGCTCGCTCCGCCTTTTCCCACGAACCTGCCCCGCTGCCGGTGCCTGGAAGCCCCGAGCTCGTCCTGACCCCGCTGCCCTGACCCGGGACGCTTCGCCCTCTGCCGCGTTCCGGAGGCCGGAGCGTGGGAACCAGGCAGAGCGAGAGCGGGACGGGCGCGCCGAGGGGGAGAGGCGGGGCCCGCAGGCTCCCGCGGCGGCTCCGGTTCCCTTCAGACCGCGCGAGCCTCTCGCCGGGCGCAGGACCTGCCTCGGCAGCAGCAGGGCGGGAAAGGAGAGAGCGGCCCGTCTTTCCTCTCTGGAGAGGGTAGGGAGGTCCGGAGAGGAGTCCTGGCTGAGGAACCCGCTTTGCTATTGGCAGGACTTTGCGGAGCTTCCAAACCACCAACTGCGTGGGGGGGGGGGAGTGAAGGAATGGTGCGCATAGGAAGGTGAGGGAAACGGCAACAATACCCCTCGCTCCCCCCATCACCTGCCTCAAGTGGACCATGCCCAGAGAAAGGCATCCGCGAACCAATTTAGGACAGAAGGAGGAAAGTGGTGGCGCGCGGTTAAGGTTGGGCTAGACCGAGGGAGCGGCGCGGGCACCGCTTGAGCAGGCGAAGAAGGGCGGGAGAGGGCCACACCCCGGCGCGCCAGGCAGCGCCAGCCCCTCCCCTCCGCGCCCTAGCGCTGTCCAGGGTCCCCATTTGCCCCGGCTGGCGGCGGCGACGAGACGCCTTTCTCCTCGACGCCTCAGCGAGAGGTGGCCGCGCGCCGCCGACCCGAGCAGCCCCACCGCCGCGCGCTCGCCCCGTTGCCGCCTGCTTTGTGGCGCTCGCCTCCTCCACTCACCCCGTCGCGCTGCTTCTCCCCTTTCGCTTCGCCCGGCGCTCGAGCGGCAGTCGGCGGCTCTTGCTGCTGCTGCTTCTTCGGCGGCGGCGGCGGCGGTGCCTGAGGGGAAAGCGCCGCTCGCCTTCCCAGCTCGACAGCCTCTCCCCGGCGAACTCATGTTGGAAACGTGCGTTTGGACAGCTGGCTTCAGCCGCTTCTTCTGGCCCCTCCCCGGCCTCTCGCTCCAAGCGAGGAGGCGCTTTCTTGGGCGCCCAATCGGAAGAGCCGCCGCGGCAGGAGCGGAGCGGGGGGGGGGAGCAGCCGAAGCGACACAAAAGGAGGAAAGATAGCGGGGAGGGGGGAGGGGGGAGAAGAAAGAGCGAGGCGCTCATTAGGTGGCACATTTTAAGACTTCCCATCATCTTGGGATGCCGATTAAATACAAACACGGATAGGCTCTTGGCTGCCACATAAAGCCTTCCCCCTTATTCTAGAATTGTTGAGAGTTAACTTCAAACACCTTCACTATTACTATTATTATTATTGCATTTCTATCCCATCTTTCCTACAATGAGCTCAAGGTGGCAACCAGCGTTTTCCTCATTTTATCCTCAGAACAACCCTGTGAGGTAGGTGGGGCTGAGAGTGAATGAGGGACTGAACCAAGGTCACCCAGTGAGTTTCATGATTAAGTAAGGATTTGAACCCTGGTCTCCCAGGTCCTAGTCCAGCACTCAAACCACTACACCACACTGCATCATATGTAGCTTGCCCCAAACAGATAAACATACCTGGATGCCACTGGGAACTCTTCTATTCCTCCAGTCTGCATTCCTCCGCGCCCCCAGCATCCAGTGCCTTAGCCTATGTACCGGTAATAAGAAGGCCAGCCCGGTTAATCCATCTCTTCCATCTCTTCAAGTTATATGGACCTTTTCAACTTGGCATCATGCCGCAAACTTGCTTCTGAGCCGGGAGTGGGCTGCCACAGCACTGTCAAACACTTTGCAATAAAGACTATGCTCAGGAGAAGCAGAAATGGAAATGCTTCTGGGGGCCTACAGATGAACAAGCTCCTGGGTGCTATAGATGAGACGCAAGCTGTCATAAATTGCCTGCCATTATTAGGAGTTCTACCAGGATTGGAGAACCTCAGTCCCAAGATCCAAATGCAGCCCTCCAGACCTCTCTATATGGCCCTCAAGACTCTCCCCATAGCACATACTTCATGCTCTGCACCCTCAGTTGTTTTTGACTGGCTGTAATGTGATAATCCCTTTTGGATGGATAGAGGATGGAGAAGTCAGTGTGCATGTGGAAACCTCTGATTTTCAATGGTATGTGCTGAGTAAACTTCAGGTGGCTACCACCCAACATTTTTTCCATGTAAGGATAACCAACGTAACTAAGGCCTTTGATTGTTACCAAGAAAATCTCTCTTCCTATATAGATAATACCTCTTTTTCCCTTTTCTTTTTAAGAAAAAAAAATAGGGCAGCTGCTCATGAAAATGTCAAACTGATTTGTGTAGGATACAGTTTAGGATTCCTTATCCTAAGTGGGGAAATGGGTGCACACACATTAATGTGATAAGACGTAAATATTGAAAATACAAAAATGCAGAGTGCCAGCATTATGATACTGATATATTTGGCTATTCATATAACTAGAGTTGCAAACGCAAGAAAGAAAGGAAATGCTGTCATTAAAGTGAAAAAATGCATAAGGCTGACAGTGATCATTCTGTACATCTTTACCAGTCTCTGTTTTTCTCCAGTGGAGTTGTATGCATGCAACAAGTTTGGGTTTCCTCTTCTTTGGAAAAGCAGCCCAGTTTTGGCATACCCACACAACAACTCATTATGCTTTGGCTTGTGAATTTTACAAATAGGGAATTGTTCCTAGCTTTTTATATTGATCCCTGAGCCCTCATTTTGCTCCGGATTTTAGCATGTTCTTTTGTATGTTGTATTTTGTAACTTTATAATGCATTGTGGCTTGGCTCTGGCTGCATATAAATAAACAAACAAATGTAAATATTCAAGAAGCTGATCATGAAATGTCTCCTTTTTTCTTTTTCTTTTAAAAACATCTGGATCCACTCTTCACTTTATGGGAAAATCCTCTGTGTGTGTATTAAAAAAATCATTCATTGTAAATACATGCACACAAATTGAACACAGATGAAATCCTTCTCATTCAGGAAGCTGAATCATTAATTGGACTAACATTTGACTGGTTGCAGTTTTGAAATTACTCTGATTTATACAGATGAAAAACCTTATGTTCTTAAGTGGTAATAAATGCCAAAAACATTTTGACATCAAAATTGTATGTCATCATTATTATTATTGTTATTGTTATTAGAAAAGATTTGTTTTGGACTAGATTTTTTCCCCTTTCAAAGTTGAACTCATTTATTTCAATCTGATTCTGTGTTATTTATCACATCTGTAATACACTGTAGTTTATAAAATGGTTTATAATTCTTATCTTCACAACAATCTGTGAAGTAGGTTAGGATGGGAATTATTATTCTGCACCAGTCTGCCACTCTTCTTCATGGCTAAGCAGTAATGAACCACCCTAAGGAAACTTCTAAACATTCTTGTTGGCTGGTGGTTGCAAAGGAATGAATTGGGGGGGAACCAAATGAATCTTAATTGAAACTTAATACAAATAAGAAGGGGTTACTATTGGGTGGAGGAGTTTGTGGTCCAGGAATGGATTAGACCAAGGCCCATTGAGGCCAGCATTCAGGTCTCACAGTGGCCAGCCAGATGCCTATGGAGAACTGCAAGCAGGACCTGAGTGCAGTAGCACTCTCGCCCCTCGTGATTCCCAGCAACTGGTAATCAGAAGCAGACAAGGGATGCGGGTGGTGCTGTGGTCTAAACCACTGAGCCTCTTGGGCTTGTCAATCGGAAGGTTGGCAGTTCGAATCCCCATGACGGTGTGAGCTCCTGTTGCCCTGTCCCTGCTCCTGCCAACCTAGCAGTTTGAAAGCATGCCAGTGCAAGTATAAATAGGTACCCCTGTGACGGGAAAGTAAACAGTGTTTCCGTGCACTCTGGCTTCTGTCATGGTTTAGTTGGTTTAGTCCTGCTGGCCACATGACCCGGAAAGCTGTCTGTGGTCAAACGCCGGCTCCTTTGGCCTGAAAAGCGAGATGAGCACTGCAACCCCATAGTGAAGTATGTCCTTTACCTTTTACTCAGAAGCAAATGGCAAGGTAGTGCATGAATTCTGTGTTGCTTTTACCAAACACCTGATAGCCAAAATAGAAATTAAAATGCATCCCAACAAGGAGCTTGCATTGCTGGATATCAGATCTAATAGGTACTTGAAAAATTTTATTAAAATTTACACCACCTATTTCAGTAGCCATCACACCATCCCTGCCAATGAATCCCATAGGTAATTATACTTTCTGCAAAGAGCTGCTTCCTTTAGCCTTCCTGAACCTGCTGCCTTATCAATTTAATTAGATGACCCTGATGCAGTTCTCATGTTTTGAGGCAGTGTGCAGATTTTTCTCTATTCATTATTTCAACATTGCAAATGAGCCTACCATTAACAGTTCTTCTTAAACACCAACATTGATTGGAATGGGATTTTTAAAACACACACACACACACACACACACAAATGCTGCTTTTGCAATAAACATGCAAAGTTCAAAGATGGATATTTTAGAATGACAATAGGCACAACTCACAACTTTGTTGGGGGGGGGATACAAAAAAATGGTGCCTACCCATCTAAAGATGATTTTGTAGGCACTTCCTAGTAAAATTATGTCATACTGTCACTGTCCATTTGTTTTCTAGATGTTTAACAATGAACCATTTTTATGCTGCCTTCCTCCTCTTATTTCTTTCTTGTATTAAGAAAACATTTTCTTAATACTGTATCCTTGTACATTTTAATTTAAATCTTTAATCAGCAGATGGTGTTAACAGGAGAGACTTTAAGGGAAGAGAATAGAGGATGGTGAGCTAGATTCCCTCTTTAGAATGGTACCTCGGGTTAAGAACTTAATTCGTTCTGGAGGTCTGTTCTTAACCTGAAACTGTTCTTAACCTGAGGTACCACTTTAGCTAATGGGGCCTCCCGCTACCACCATGCAATTTCTGTTCTCATCCTGAAGCAAAACTCTTAACCTGAGGTACTATTTCTGGGTTAGTGGCATCTGTAACCTGAAGCGCCTGTAACCCGAGGTACCACTGTACTTCCCAACATCCCATTTTCATGACCTTCCTAATACCACTCCTGCATCTGAGTCGGCTAGGAGGAAACCTGTTACTTCTCAAGGGGCCAGAGCTGTCCTTTGGGAATTATCCAATTGCCGGTCTCTGCCTGCAATTTACTTCTTTTTACTCTTGTTTTCTCTGGGTTGTTTTTTTTTAATAAAAAAAAAGTTTTTAAATTCACAGCGCTGTAGTTGATTAATAGGCCCACTTAGCAATGTAAACTGTTGGCAAAGACTGTTTCTTAACAACTGCTGCCACCAACGAGTCCTAGGGCAAATCTGGACACCCTAAAACAAACACCGGATGGGGAAAGTGCTTTGAGACTGGACCGCTTTGTTTGACTCAGCCAAAGTTCTGCGTTTCATTTGCTAATCTGGGCATGACGTTCTTTCATACATAACCATGGATGCAATGCAGGGTCCTCATTAAATAAAATGGCGTTACTCTAGAGAGTAAGTAGACAAAAATAGCATGAAAATATAAAAAAATGCAAGATTATGTAGGTGGACGTGTTTCTTCACCATTTAGCTAAGAAAGGAATTAGCAAGCAAAGCTGTTCAATTTATATTCCTGATCTGAACATCCTAGGTCATTTTTATAAACATGAAATATTTTTGGCTGCATGTTATGCATGTTTAAGCCCTACTTTAACATTAGCCCTACCCACAAATTGATTCAGGGCCCGATCTGGGGTGGGGCAGTGGGTCTCTGCGTTGGGCCTGTCAGCAGGCTGTGCATAGCCAACATGGCCAATGTAAGTACAGTGATACCTCAGGTTACATATGCTTCAGGTTACAGACTCTGCTAACCCAGAAATAGTGCTTCAGGTTAAGAACTTTGCTTCAGGATAAGAACAGAAATCGTTCTCCAGCAGCGCAGCGGCAGCGGGAGGCCCCATTAGTTAAAGTAGTGCTTCAGGTTAAGAACAGTTTCAGGTTAAGAACGGACCTCCGGAACGAATTAAGTACTTAACCTGAGGTACC